GCTACGATGGTCGTTTTGCCTGGAAGATGCTGTTGTCGCATTAAATGCACATCCTTTCAAAAACGACAGTAGCTGGGAAACAATAAATGTGATTATAAGTGTTGCAGCCAGAACACTAAAAGAACCTCCTCTTCTTGGCGTGGGGTTATATAGCCCTTGCTTTTTACTCCCGGCTCTCAAGAGTTCAGTGTTAGATCCGCTAGACTAATCATGATGACTTTATAAAATTGTATAGGGCTACGATGGTCTTTTTGCCCGGAAGATGCTGATGTCGCGTTAAATGCACATCCCTTCAAAAGCGACGGTAGCTGGGAAACAATAAATGTGATTATAAGTGTTGCAGCCAGAACACGTGGGACTGCAGGCTCATCTTCGAGGAAGTACTTTGACTATGGTCTTTGCTCTCGAGCAACAGCAGAGCGCGAAGGGCACGCCAACTATGTTTAAAACGTGCACTGCACTTATGAATTTGTCTACACCCTGTGATGCCATGTGTAAACATGGGATACGTCCCCTACAAAGGTTGATGTGTAATGGTATTGAAGGGTACTTTTGACATTTCAATATATCATATATTTTACAATATAATTGATTTTAATATTAAGGGGTAATTTCGTCTTTTTGATCAATTTAAGGCCGTGTTTGGTTGCCAATTCTTTAAGGGGGTGTCATTATCCAAAAAATAGACAACTTGTATATGACTGTCCTCATGACAAACGTCACATGATGTCATTGTACTTTATCCTTAAAAAAATAATAATAATAAGTTCAAAAATTTCTTATCAAGAAAAAAAAAAAAAAAAAAAATTGTTCAGTTTTCCTTAAATCAGTATTTGACGGTGATACTACATAAACAGAAATGAATAAAGCTTGTCTTAGGTTGCATAAGAAGGAACTTCATTCTTATAATGATGTGGCCAATAAAACATCAACAAGTGTTACAGTTTAAAAAGAAAAGAAAAAAAAAAGATGACTAGAGGGAATAAAAACTGATCATTCCTTCCCTCTTTCTCTCTCATGCAACGATATATGTTACTTTTGTGTTTTGAATCTAAAATCAAATATTGTTCTGGAAAATATATATATACACACACACACACACACACACATATTTTAAAGAGTGGGGCCAGGTGGGGGAATGACTATATATAATGTATGACGACACATTATACCAAATTAAATAACTTTTTCGATAGAGAAATCTAATAAATCTATTTTTATTATTTTTATTTGGTGATAATCATCTTTAAACAATTAAATTTGGATGAGAAGTTTGTAATTAGATACAAAAGAAAAGAAGATGAACATGAAATGTTTTGTAATTTAGGAGAAATTGGGATAAGAAAAGAAAAGAAAAGAAAAAGAAAGGAAGATGAACATGAAAAGTTTTAAAATTTATACATAAGCGAAAAAAGAAAAAAAAGGAAAATTTTAATTTCTATATCAACGGAAAAACCTAGAAAAAAAAAAAAAAATACTCACCATTGGTATCATGAGAATGAATTCATGATATATATCATTTTCTATGAATTTATAGTAATTATTTGTCTCAACTCTCATATATGACTAAAAGATGTCGATCTAATATATATATATAGAATTATTCACTTGCTCTCTGATGTACAAGAATATATATATTCCCACTTCAAGTATTAACCGTTAGATTACATTGGGCAGTTAAAAAGGTAGTTTATTATTTTATATTTAATGGTTAAGATTCAATTCGTGCATAAATTCTTTGTACACTAATGAGCAAGTGAACAATCCTAATATTAATTAATATATATATATATATATATATATATATATATATATATCTGTTTTGAAATGATATATATGTGTACCTGAGAGAGAAAGACCTAAGGATACTTTATATTGTCTTTAGCCTTCATTTTTTTTTTTTTTTCTTTTAAAACTTAAATACCTATTAGTATTTTATTAGGCCAGCTCATTATAAGAATGATGTTCTTTTTTTATGCGAACTGAGACGAGCTTTGTTCACCAAAAATTACTTCATATCCTTTTGCAAGACTTGTCTCCCAGTGATTGCTATCCCTCGCGTCCTTTTCAAAAAAACCACATGTCGCCTCGTGAGATGCTTGAAGTTAAGAAGATAAACCAATAACGGCATTAAATTATACCAATAAATTAATAGTAATAATAAGAAGAAAAAGGTTATTTGCCTAATTTGCCCCATTCCACCTGTGCTTGAGTCGGTTCTGTGCTTTAGTTGGTTCCATGTCCATATCCATCTCCATATGATAGAAGTTTCTGATCTTGACATTCACTTATAATAAACAAATTATAATTTTTTATTATTTTCAGAATTTATTAAATTAAAAATGTTTTTACAGAGAAGAAACGTACTGAAGTTAAATTAGTTCACTGAAGTCTTTAAAAAGTCGAAAAAATAAGGAATTCATCTCTATTCCAATTATAAACTGCATTTGGACTATCAAACCTTAGTTATAAAAACCTTAGCTATAAAAATAAGCATTTCAATGTTTAATTATTTATTTAATTTATTAGTGAAGAATGAAAATAGGCAGCAGGCTAGAGTCCATGTGAATGAATATATTGATATTTCTAATGCTTAAGTTTGACCAAGTATAATTGCATTCAACATGCAATGGAATTCTTCAATTTTCCTATTTCAAAGAACCATATTCAAATATGGGGGCTAAAAAGCATTTTAAATATATAGATAGTCAAGTGTCTCAGATTAAGAAAAATTTCAAAAATATCTTTAAGTTTAAAGAGCCAACATAGTGTTTTTGAATCTCACGATTTGTTTATTTATGCATAAAATCCTTTGCACTTAAAAATATTTTAATATAATATCAAGAGTGTTGTAGTTTAATGGGATCCCGTGGATAGTGAGCGTTTAAGTCTTTATAGGAAAAAATGGATGTGTACGTTTCTTGCAGAGGAAAAAAAAATCTCATTTATTTATTTTCTATAAAAATTTTGGTTTTTTTTTTTTTTCTTATATTGAGGTTTGCTTTAAAATTAGAATTGCAGAAAATTTAGTTTGAATTTTAAACTAATTCTTTTCTAAATTCAAATTCAAGGCACCCATCGATAATCCCAAACACAAACCTACCGAATAACTACTTATTAGCTTTTGAGCAAGCGAGTCTTAAGTATTGAAATTCAATCAGTAATTATGAAGAAAAAAAATCTAGTCATTTCGAGGTTACGCCATTTTGGAATTCACTTATTTTTGTCAAAAATCTTGTATATTTTAGTGGGATTTAAAATGTTTTAAAAAATAAAATCTCAAAGAAAATCACCCAATTATGTGGGGATAAGGATCATCTCCAGCGTTGGACCTCTCCTGCACAGAATTTATTGGGTGAAGTGGGTGAGATTGCATCATCACTAGTGGGTCTCATTTATCAATTCAATCTCACTCACTGAATTTTGTACCGGAGAGGAACGACGAGGATCCTTGTCCATCCAATGGCAACTATACTTCACCTTTTAAAAGAAAAAAGTGAAGAGTTCAAATCCCAATGTTTTTGTAATTTATGGAGTATTGTCTAGAAAAATACTTAGTATTTAAGGCTATAAGTTGGGTTGGCCCAAGCCAACCTCAACCCGAATAGGGTTGGATTGGGCCAACCCGAATTGTACCCAACATGGGTTATGGTCATAACTCAGCTCAAATATTTTCGGGCCGGTCGGGTCGGGTTGACGGGTTGTGTTTTTTTTTTTCCCCCTTAGAAATTTATATTATATATATATATATATATATATATATATATATTTGATTATATTATTATTAAAAAATAAAATATTTTTAGGACAAATCATTTCAACCTCCCCAATCGCCTCCATCTCTATTCTCGTTCTCTACTCTGAACTTGCCCTATTTCTCTCGCTGCAACTGCAATCTACAAATCTACAAGAATCAGAAGTTCAAAACCCATATATTTCAGTTTATCTATCTGCCTGCAATAATCAAAAGTTCAAAACCTATATCGGCATATCATTTCAGATTGTTCAAAAAATCAAACCATATCTTTCAGTTTCCATCGCCCACTGTTCCAGTTCGGGTTCGCTGTTCGCAAGCTTCAACCGCTGTCTCTTAACTCTCAAGCTTGCCCCCCCCCCCCCCCCCCCCCCTCTCTCTCCAACTGCTAACTTGTATGTACGGGTTTTGTTTTAATTTTTGGAAGTGACGGCGGCGGCGGCAGCAGCAGACAGAGAAAGAGAAAGAAAAGAGAGGAGAGAGAAAGGAGAAAAAAAATAAAAAAATAATTTTTTTTATATTTTGGGTTTTGGGTTGGGTTGAGCCCGAACTCAACCCGAACATGCCTGGGTTTTGACAAAACCCAACCGAACATGAGCCGAATTTGTGAATTTTAAGTTTAAATTTCAAAAATTTTGGGTTAGGATTGAATTAGACTGAGTTAGCCAGCCTAAATTGCAACCCTACTCGGTAATAGAAAAAATAAGTTAGGAAAAAATTAAAGACTCCGGAATCAATAGACCAAGAAAAAAGTTAATCTCATGTCATCTATCTAGCTTGAACTATGGTCCAAGAAATTCCTTTGATCAATTTACAGCGACTCCTTGGATCCTATTTCTATTGACGACTTTTGTTGTCTTTTTAGCTTCTCTTTTGTTTTTTACCGATTAAATTTTGTAGGCTGATTGTACTACTACATTGGATTAATCTTCAAATCGTCCAATGGCTTAGTCAACATCGGAGCCAAAATATTTGCACCCATTTGGAGGTTAGAAACCGTCGGCCACATACATATACATATACATATGCATATACATATATAAATATCTATGTATTATATAATATTGGTGGCATAGTGCGCATAAGCTGTATCCAACCCAATTCACTCACTCCCACAAATTAATTACAATCTTAATTTTTTTATTAAAAAAAAAAAACTGCGCTATCTTATGCTTCACAATTCCAAACATCATCAAAACTCGACCAATATACCATGAAGTAGTAACTGCGAACATGCCAGCAAAACGCACAAACAACTCTCAAGTATTATACATATGTAGAAGTATGTATACGTCTATATACATCACACACAAAAATGTAAAGCAAAATTGCATATAAGTACTATATATACATATAGTCAGTGTGTGGAAAATTCAAAACCCTATATTCTTTTTCTTTGCTTTTGACTTCTTGACGAGTTTATACGCGGTGGTTGTGGTGGTGGTGGTGTTGTGGAAGCCTAAAGCGGACTTGCGACGCCGGGGACCGGACAGCGACGCCGTGCCAACATATACCCCCTCGACAAATCTGATTGGCTCGATCATGCGTCAGTACTGCATACGTGGCCTTACGCGACACGTCCCACGTCAGCGCCCCAATCAAGGTGAGTCCAACCACAGCCGTCGATATCACCAGCACATAAACGCCAGTGAAGCTCTTCCCAGCCGCCAGGCCGTACACTTTGATAGCCAAAATCACCGCCAGGTACAGCGTCGTCAGGTTCCCGACCACCGCATCGGAGATCGCCATCTCTTTTTCTCTCTCTAGAATTGGGGGCGCACCCTGCTTGCTTCAGTAACTCTAAATTGAGGGGAATGTCGGGAGGGGGTTTTATATGGGGAGTGGAATTGGGGGTTTCTTCTGGCTTTGGCTTTGGCTTTGGCTTTGGCTTTTTTGAGCTTATCTTCTCTTTCTTTCAGATTTGATGTTTTTGAGAAAGTGAAACGTAGCATCATCCACCTAGACCTAGTGTTGTAGGTGTACCTCTAGGTGATTTTTTAACTAGCCAAATAATTAATGACACGTGTCTCAACGGTGCCTTCAAATATTATACTGTAGCCAATAATATAATGACTAATGTGTGTGTATGTGTGTGTTTATGGTGTGTTTTTGTGGTGGGTGCGCATGTGAAACGAGAAGTCGTTGCATTGTGGCATTGGTCATCAGGATGGACTTGAAAGTAAGTGGTATATTCTTTTTCTTGGTGCAAATATGACTAAAAATATTAGCTCTGTATCTCTCACTCCAGTTTAACGAGGGCCACATTGACGTTTTGATATTTTTGAATCGGAAGTGGATCCCTTTGTGTATGGATTCATGAAAAAAGACATTGGCTACAGAATTCACGGGACCAAGTTCCATGTTACTCCTCTTAACTGTCTTATATATTAGAACGGTATCGTATGCACACAATTTCTCTAAATATGAAAAGGTTCAAATTCGATAAAATGATGTTGCTGGAGTACGTGTACTTTGAGTCAAATCATTCACAAAACATGTATGACACACCATACGAATCCATATGATATCATGTTCTGATTCTTAGTATAAAAGTTCGTTACTATTAATTGAGTAGTTTTTTTTTTTTTTTCAACAGTTACAATACTTTGAGAAGCATACAGTCTTTCAGAAGTGATTTTTCTAATAGAGCTGAATTTTGGAAAACTAAAAATAAGAAAATTGATATGAATAACAAAGGTTATTTTGTCATTTTAGTTATTTTGTTAAAATTTTGTTTAATAATGGAAGGCACTAGGTTAGTGGACTTGAATTCTATAGCAACTCATATCCAACTCACAAAGGCGTCGCACTTATCAAAATAACGTAATTTTTGTACTTTAATTTTTAGATTTCACCACAAAAAGTAGGTTAAATTTTGCTTTCTTTTTTATTTACGAACTTCAAACCCTTAATCAAAGATTTGAATTAAGCCCCAAAACTATTGGTGAATTGCCATCATCCACTTTGCAAAAATTCAACTAGAATTCATAATGATGAATTGATTTTTCTCATATATAGGACACAAGGAAAAATAATAATAATAATAATAATAATAATAATAGTAATAATCACTAGCTGAGTCTAAAACAACTTTTCAATTTTTCCATGAGTTATTTTTTTTTTGTTGTTCTTTCATTTCGTCATCGGGCAAGTATATCATATTGAAAATGAATACTTATTTACTCGTCAATGATTGTTTTCGGGAGAGAGATATAATACTCTTTTTTATTTTATTTTATTTTATGTTTATACTGATGTTTAAATTAAATTTTGAATCCCAAATATGGTATTGTAAACTGATATTTGAAGTTACTTTGTGATAAGTGTCTTTCAGCCATACAATATTGTGAAAACCAAACCAATGTAAGCAAATCACACCCATATAACTATTTTTAAATTTCATATTCAATATGAATCTATATAAGCTTGTTAAATGCATTGTATTAGAATGGTAGTTTTGTTCTATTTAATTGCTTCAAACATCACCAATTGGTCTTCCTGATAATGGGTTTTTGTTTTTGTGTACTAAGTTATTGCTTGCTTGCTTCTTCTTCTTCTTCTTTATTTATTTATTTATGTACTAAGTTGTGTTGGGTGTCTATGATTTGTTGCAAAGGCTTGGAGATTATCAACTTGAAACTTAGCTGCCGGAAGCTATTAGTATTAGATTAAACATTTTATTATGATGGGTTTTCCTTTTCTTACCAACAACCATTTTTATTTTATTCGTTTGAAGGTACAAAAAATTTCTATTGTGGTTTTCATGGTGATAGACTTCTGGTGTTTTTATGTTATTTTGTATGTTTATTTATTTTGACAATAACACAAATTTTTATTTATTTATTTATTTTTTAAAGATGATAGTAACAGGAAATTTAATGGGGATATTACATATATAACATGTATAAGGGATACTTTAGTTATTTTGCATCCTTAGTTAACGCCCGTGTGAGTCTATTACCCCTTTGATAGTTGAGGGGGTTTTTTGAAATAAAAATAGTCAAGAGGGGTTTAGTAAAAAAAGGTAAAAGTCAGAGGGAGTTTTTTGGACTTTGTCCAAAAAATAATAATAATAATAATAATGTATTGAGAGAATTTTGATTGATTCTTGATAAATGGGTAAAATACGAGTAGGTATTCCATGTGCAGAAATCGTATATATTCTTGTCAAATACGAAAAATATTAGCTAGAGGATTTCAACACTAAGATTTACTTCATTTATGGTAGAAGATAGTAACTTAGTCAACGTTCGCGAGAGAAGGATGGTCTTCTTGATGAACGGGGTGAAATGGGCCACGTCATCTGTGGGGCCATGATTTGGGCGCAAAGAATTGAGAAGAGACCAAATACCGTTGAAGCAAAAGCCCAAAGTCTCTCAATTCACGATGGCTTTGCGGTAACGTAAAGTTTGTTGTGGTGTGCTTAATCATGGAGTTTGTTGATGGATTGTTCTTATTATGATGCGTCATCTTACATAAAAAGATTATACACCTTGTGGCCCACGGGGTCTACAATGTTCCAATTCGACGGTTCTGATTTGGCCACACCATTTTCGTATTATGATGACTAATGAAATATGAATCCTTCGTCAACTTCAATGGCCATTTTTTATTATTGTTATTATTTTTACTTTACTTGCAATCTTGAACATATGGGTATAGTTAAATAGACATTAATGTCTATTTTAATAGGCATTACACTTTATCCTATTATACATTTGTGTTTCCTATTTTAACAAACTAATTGAATTGTTAATTGAATAAAAAGGAAATAACAAAGTTTCTCTTTATATCTAATTTATTTTTTTCTACAAATATTTTTCATTATATATACAATTGTATATATTTATATATATGTTATATCTTCTGCACTCTCTATATTTTTCAACTATTCTATATTTTTGTTGAGTATTTCATTAAAATTTAGGATTAATTTCATTGATACTCCCTCAAATTTGGTCAAATATCACCCTCAAATATCTTTCAAAAATAACTATTATTCAAACATCTTTCGAAAATAATTATTACTTATATTACAAACTTTTACTTTATTTTTCACCACACCCCATCCGTTACTTGCATAATAATGATATAATATAAAATGACGTAAATACCTTTCAACTTTGTCAAAACAACTCTTTAGCCTAAAAAATCAGATAAAAAGACTAAAATATTCTTAAAACTATGTATACACATAAATAGTTTTAGATATGGACATACACATAAATAGTATAAGCATATACATAATTAGTTTTAGATATGGACATACGCATAAATAGTTTTAGAATACCCCTTTTTTTAAACCCCACACTCACATAATTAGTTTCCTATTTTAATTTGGATTTGCTAATGTATATATTAATTTGAAACTCTTATTAAACTTGTTTCTAAGTCCTATGTAGTTTATTTTTAATTCTAATCAATTGAATTTGTGTTTAATTATTTTTAATTATTATTATAACACCCCCAAATCAAATTACATCAAAACTGATTGTATATATGTCTTACAGCTAGTGCTCTATATATGTATATTGATTATATATAATAGGTTGTTGTATTAGTGAAAGAAGTATTAATGGAGTTTGAGGATCAAGAGGAAGAGAAGCAAGAAGAGGTGATTGAGCTGCCATCGAGTTACAACTCGCTCGATAACTCGTCCCGACCTAATATGTGAAGCCCAGATGGAGCTAACGCGTCACCGTATGAAGCGGCGCCGAGGAAACCTAGGTACAGGGGGTGCCTGAAGAACCACGCCATCGGACTTTGCGGCCACGCCGTGTACGGCTGTAAAGAGTTCATGTTGGTTGGTCCGGAAGGCACCCTCGACGCACTGAAATGCGCTGCTTGAAACGTCATGGACGGTGATGGTTGGTGGTCTGCTTCTTCCGCATTAGAGCTCCACCCAATTCCAAGCCTATTAAAGGCATTAAGCCTCGGATGTCGCCTTCGACTCCACTCGCAATCTCTGGTTCGGCGTCTTCCCTCCCACCAAACCACCACCGTCCATAGGGGATTTTGAATATCAACCCCTACCCCATCACTGCCGACCACGGTCAATTTATTAGTTCGGCAAAAAAATCAACGTTATCGCTGCAGTGCCCAGCTTTCGAATTCATCGCTGCCTAACTGATGTCACCACCTAGGTTGCTGTTGCAATTGTAATATATATATATACCTGAAGGGTATAATGGCCATTTAAGTAACATGATATTTTGGAATAAATAGGATAAAAAAATTAAGGACAAAGTTGTCTTTTTTTCATGTTTTTAATACAGATTTTAACGGAAAAAATAGAAATGGATCTAAGTGATAATTATTTTCAAATAATATTTTAAAGTGATATTTGACCAAACCTGAGTGGGTGCAAGTAAAATTAACCTAAAATTTAACAAAAAAACTCTAAGTGAATTATGTAAATTATGGTTCTTATACACAAGAAAGAGCTCACTCATGATAAAATCACAATTTATACTTTTAATTATTTAAAAATTTAATATAAAGGATCTCCCAAACCATTAGAATTGAATTCAAATTATATAAATTTTTTCTCTCTTTCCTATATTAAGATCTTTCATTACACAAAATTGCTATTAAAACATATAAAGTAGCCAAATAAGAAGTAGAACATTTTCCATATATATATGTATTATATGATAAAAATCACATAAGACTAGATAGTTATTTATGATGTGGTATTTGTGCTTTGTTTGATCAGATTTTAACTTCCGAAAAAAAAAAAAAAAAAAATTATGTCTCGAAGGGAAGCATAAATAAATAAATAAATAATAAAAAAACTCATGTTAAGAAGAAATGAAATGTTGACTAAAAATAGAAAAATGTAGCAAAGTGTTACATATATATATATATATATATATATATATACATACACGAGCGGGGGGAGAAGGATTCATTTTTTCGATGCGGAAATGGCTGTAGAGGAATGAACAAAGGGAAAACAAAACATCAGCTAACCTGTGAAGCAGCCATTTGAGAGAGAGAGAGAGAGAGAGAGAGAGAGAGAGAGTTGGCACAGGATGCAAAGACAAAATATGCACAAGCACAGGCACAATCGCAAGCAAATAATGAACTTCACAAAAGAAATATTTCATTCTTCATTTTGAAACAACCTACGGTTGGTTTCATTCTTTGGTATTACTTTCAGTTCAATGCAGTCCTCGTAATTCTGACCCGCAAAATTACAGGTGAATGCGAACAATATATATAAGTTAAAAGACATTTAGTGTGGAGAATCCAATCAACCCTTCAGTGAATATTTCTTCCCAGAAAAAGGCTGGAACTTCGGCTCTTGTTTCTGTTGGGGCTGCTGCTCCTGTTTAGTCTCTTTTGCAGCTTCCTGCGGGATTACAGATATAACCACAGTTCAAGATTATATCTCAACTATTAGCAAATTAAAGTTGGACGCGGGAAGATGAATACATTTACCTTTTGTGTTTCCTTAGCACGGTTTACATTTGAGCCACCGAACACAAGCTTTCCCTGAGACTGACGAGAGGTACCTTGTGAACTAGACCCGGCAGAAAGCTGCCCACCACCATTGGCGACTTCAGGTCGTTTGTCTTTGGACCCAGAAGAAACTGGTGCAGGCTGGTACGCCAAAGGTTTTCCATCCAATCGTCTCCCTCCTCCTGTAAATGGCGTGAATTTTGGTTCAGTATCCGCCGGAGCCTCTTGACCTGGCATGAAGAAAAAGAGAAGGTTATTTGCTTAAATGATATCATAAAACAAGCAGAAGTTGCAAACATAAATCTCGTACTAGATTATTTGCATCTTAAAGTTTCTAAAGGAAATAAGGTCTCCAAACAACAGCAATTGCATAAACAAATATTGGGTATGTTTTAGATGCTCACACTATTTGAACTGGTACGTACTTATCATCACCATTGTAGTACAGATGATGTACCATAATACCCCCCATGAAGGAGCAACAATTTGCATCATACAATTGCATGCATGAACAGGATTATGACAATCATCTAAAGATGTGCCAATCTGATAAGAAGTCACAGAAGTAAAACCTCAACAATCTATAAAGTGTGGTGCTATTATCTCCAAACCCAATAATTTCAGCTTTTAAAGTTTCAAATACAGTAACCAGGCTGCAAAAACAAGTCTCATCAAATCCTAATCAAATCCTAAAACAAAATGACTGGTTGTAGCTCCAAAATAATCATGAAGGGAATTAAGCAAACGCGAGTGTACATGAATTTTAAAAGATAAAGAAATGCTCTTTTAAAACTACCAACTAACATGGTTTACAAGCAGAAATTGTACTCTGCATCGTGACCAAAAGCAAACAAAAAAGAAGTTCCAACAAATCAACCTCAAGATCAACATGATATTTAGGACTTGCCCTTTATATAGGGGTAGAAAGATTTGACAAGTTACTATTTACCAACCTGGTAATCAGAAGGAATTACTGAAAATGGGACACAGAAGAGAAGCAAATCACTAAGTTAAAACCTAGGATCCAACCATTGTAACTTTGTTAAAAAGGGAAAAGTTATGTTTATGCAATAAAGAGTACATGCTGGACTAACATAATGATATACCTCACTAAATTTTGTGAGAAGTGAGCACCGACTAAGAAGAAGAACAATGAAATAACCATGACAATAATGGAAACAAAGAGACTGAAAATGATATATGTCAAATGAACAAGTATTGCACCTTCTGCCGGTGCCTGGCTTGCGGAAGCAGATGCAAGTGGTTTTTCAGGTTCCTTGTAATCAAGCGGAGGAGCAAAATCCACCTCGCAGTCTGTTTCAATTATACTTATTGCATTAGAAGGCTTTGTTTCTATAATGTCTATGTAATATTTTTTATTGTTGTATGCCACCATAATGCTATCCCCTGTGGTTAAGCAAGAAAAGTTCCTCAGTGTCGTTTCCAAACTGCATGAGAAAAGAACAAAAAAGTCAAATTAGGAGATCTACTCGAATAATATGACAGACAAAAAGGGACCAACATTTTATTCTCATACCAGATATTTTATACAGATATTGAAGGCCAGGCCATAAAACTAATGTGAGAAAAGAGTTTCCTAATTCCCAAAAAGCTTCGATGTAATTTCTAATGTGCAATTTAACAGCAAAGATCTGTATTTACTGCGGGAACTATTCAGTCTAAAGTCACCACTGTCAATGATCTTCTCATATGAAAAAATAAAAAAATAAACTACTAAAAAATGATTTACAAAATCTAGCTCCTATTAAAAGCATATTTATGTTATTCTAATGCCAGTGAAAAAAACAAAGCATATTTATGAACTCTGTTTTGCTGAAGGTTTCATTTTACAATCCCCACAACTAATCCAATGTCGCAAGAAGTTTTTTTCACTGCAGGGTCAGCCATAACAATGAAAACAATAGTAGGTAAAATACTTTCACAAGTACTATGACAATAAGCCAATACTCAGTAAACCAGGCATCTTTCTTGTTGATAATTATAGCAATGCACTGTTTTCACAGCAGTTCAATAGTAATGAGAATAATTACAGAAGTTATTTAGAAAGGAAAGAAAAGGAAGAGAGAGAGTAATCATTTCGAATTGTTCAAAATCAAAAAGCAATACAACATAGTGATAAACTCAAAACACGATTTAACACATACACGACCAAATTTCCACTGAATGTACCTTAAAAAATCCTCTAAACTCAAGCAGCAAACATTAATGGGCAAATAAATAGCATAACCTTCTACCAACTGAAAAAATAAACATAAGAATAATGAACTCACATGGCTTTTGGGTTGGAAATATCCAAGAAATCCTTCGTGTGGGGTTGCAGTTTAACATACGTTCCCTTTGGAAGAGTCGCATTTTTCACTCGCACAATGTCTCCTTCTTGCAACAGCAAGTTCTCCATCATCTAAAAGGAAGCAATTGAAAGTGATTCACGGAAAATAAATGCTTTTAAGATGCCCTAACAGTTACAACCTAATAAAATAAATGCTTTGATGATGCCCTAACAGTTACAACCTAATAAAAAAACACAATGTCTCCTTCTTGCAACAGCAGTCATGAACAACATTATTGAACACCTACCCAATAAGGCATATATATCATGCCTTCTTCTGCAATGAACTCCAAAACCCCACAGTGAGAAACCCGCTCAGCAGCAGCATTGCGGAGCTCAAACAACATTGGATAATCAATATGAAGAGATGCTGCAAGATTAAGTTCTATTTTAGCATTTGAGATCAAAATTTCAAAAGAATAAAGAAACAACTTTATTTAACTAAAGTAAAACATATGCCTTGACAGGGGAAAAAAAAAAAAAAAAACAAAAACAACTAACCAAGGCGGTCAAGCGCTGAGGGAGGCATTATAACTGAAACAACACAATTAAACAAGATTAAGACATTTCTTGGGGCAAAAAGGATAAATTGAAAGGAAAAAAAAAATGCCAAATTCAACATAAATTTGATGACTTACTTTTATCACCATTTTCTGTCTGTGGCTGCAGGATTGAAAAGAAAGAATAGAATTAGAATCATGGAAAAGTTAATTAAATAAAAAAAAAATGAAAACTTAGGCAATAAGGAATCATCAAATTTTTTTTTTAGCACACAAGTTAGTGAAGAAAAACTGAAAGACCTTAAGGCAGGAGATCACGGTAGGGTAATTTTCCTTTCTGCTCTGTTAGGTCAAGAGGACTAAGTTGGCAAATTCCATCCAAAACTTGGAATTTGTATTTCTATTTTAAATTTTGATTCATGTTACAAAAGTTACGTAAGGTGATTGGGTTACCTCTGCCCACAGGCAAAAGTGATATTCAAATCTTCGAGCAAGGGCAAAAAGTTAATTACATCTTTCAATTATGCACTCAACAAAAATAGGATTCATGTTCGAATGCTTTCAATGTAATAACAATACTAGGATTTTCAAATTGCATGATTTAACCTTGGATACTTTAGGATTTTGAAAATAGTTACTTTCTAGATCAATCAAAGACCACTGGAGTACTTTCGATCGACCAAAATATGCTGAGGGAAATCTGTGGATTTTAACCTAACTGTAAACCTTTTCTTATAGTAGATTTGATCTGCCTGAATTGCGTCCCGTGATTTTTTCATGATGTAGTTTTGCACATAAAAATTGCGTGTTCATGTGCATGGATGATTTAATTATCACCTTGCTTTATATCTACAGCAATGACTGATTTTGCATACTTGAGACTTGATTGAAATTTCAAAGTGACTTTAATTTTTAAATTTCTTTTCTTTCTAGGAATATATCTGGATATTTACATACTCTGACATCAAAGCCTAAAGTTACAATCCATAATCCTTTATGTTTGAATTTATTACAAAGTAGTAACTTGTAACATATGCGATGTGCGAAGGTTTGCACCATTAGAGGCTTGCAAAGCTGAACTACAGTTGATCAAAGGTGTAATCTTAGTAATAATAGCAGCAGGGTTTCTTTCCCTTTTTTTTCAATGAATATAGTGGCAGCAAATATAAACTAACAAGACTGAACTGAAAATTGATTAGAGAAGTCTTCTCACCTTATCAATAAAAGACACAGGGTAGCATCGATACGTTTGCTCAAATGATGTTCCATGGTATCCATATCCGTCGAAAAACTAAGTTTCACCACAATAAAGTTAATCATGATGACAAGTATGATAAAAACAATAATTTAAATAATGTCACCACAACAAAGCAAATCGTTAGATTGATGGTGATAAAAACATAATTTAGTGACAATAACAACAACATTACATATAATATATTTTTATAACAATCAAACCAATAAAATAATCTATATAGATGACATAGTAAGGAAAAGCAGCACCTGCTTCTTTAATGACCAAGTGATGTATTAACAAAATAACGAAGTAAAAGAAAGGCGCAAACTGCAAGATATATGATTACCAGCTATGAAATTAATCAGACACTTCATTTAAGAAAGCAACACAATTCACTGTCTAGATTGCATGACCCGTGTTCTACAGTTATGGGTTTCTAGCTTGCCGATTTCCAATGGTCCAAAGCTTAGCTAAGAATATAGAACTATGTTTAGAATATGTTCCGCACCAGAAAGCAATACAGAGACGGTCACTCAACCCATTCAATATAAACCAACCTCTTGAATCGATAAGGTTTTATAAAACTAGAACACAAGTAAATGGAATAATTTTTGGGGAAAAAAACATATAATGCAGGCAACTAAAATATGTCTGTTATTTGTGCTACAAGAAATACTAACAAGAACCTAAACCAACTAATAAATTCAAACTCATAGGTAAACAAGTATCAAAATGGAAAATTTAAGTAAGGACCACACAAATATATAAAATATAATATATAGACTACAAAGCCATATGATCGTGTGTAAGAGGAGGAAAGTATATTTCTCTTTTTTGTGGGGTGCTGAGAAATGTTCATCTACAGGGTAAAAGTTCACTGTAGCTTGTCATAATTGCTACTACAGTTGCTTCTTGTAATTAAGAAAAAACCAAAACCCGTCTTCATGTAAAATTGGTTTTCATTCCTCAAACAATATCATGATACTGGTAAATTCATTAGAACCTCCATAATAGCACACACCAATGACCTGACGAACCGCATAGGGACTAACCGAATGCGATAAATAAAGAATTCAATCAGATTTTATTTTATTTTCGCGTCCGCTTATATGCTCTGCATGATAAAAGGGAAAGAGTCATTGATCTAAAATTAATCATCAGTGCGATCTCTGTGTTAGTGACAAGTCGCTATGGTAAGTGCTTTAAGCTTTCAATTAAGCATAAAATAATTGACTCTTTTTTTTTTTTCTTTTTCTTTTTTTAATTATTATTATTTTTATGTGATAGATTGAATGATTGTTTTCAATCTCTTGATTCGTTAGATTTGTATACAATGATTGATACTCCATAGTATTATTTCGTCTTTTCTCGCCCTACTTTGATCAGGGGTTTTTTTTTGTAAATTTTAGACAATGCTTTTGTTGTTAATTGCCCCCACTGAAGGGAGTACCTTGGCATTTTGTTAAGAATTTAATCTTATCTTCATTTAAACACTATTTGCCTAAAAATTCTTATCTTGAATTTATGTATGCCAAGCAGCCTTGCATTCTTAACACAGAAGGGAAATTACTGCAATTGGGGCAACTATACTCAGTACACCAAGTCATGTGTCATTGAGCGAAAGACAATATGTTCATGGGAAGTCACATGAAATGCGGAGAGCATCAGCTAACACAATGACTGGCGAGTATGACATACTTAACTTGTTCACAAACAGCACATCCATACAGAGAATATGAAGAAGGTATCCTCCTAATAAAGTGGTGAGCCCCAACCTTCTAACAATTGTTTTTGCCATATTAATGTTTGTATTTTAGAGTGGTTGACAGTTAAAATTTGTACAATACCATCTACTCTACCATTATCTCCCAAGCAACGTAACAGGAAACAAGTAATGATGTAAGTTATCAATTTAAAGGACATGTACAATTTACACGTTTTCATGAGAACAAGAGGAAAAAGAAGTCTAACGTAATAGTTCTGTCACAAAACAAAACTTCTCAATCTCCCATTCAATTTTGTAGTCTTGCAGGTTACCCAGTCTATTCCTACTTTCATCTTACTTGAGATGAAAATATATAGGGGATTCATAATGCAAAGAATGCATGGTACTCAATTAATCATGTTGAAGAAGCAAGATTAGGAAATACCATATAATTACCAAAACATATTAATAAGTTCATCATCTGGACTTCTGACGTGGTATTTTGAGATTTAGTTCCTAAAATATACATAATAAAACGCATCACTAGCAGTTCCCAGATGCTTAACACATGAATGAGTTAGCTAGCATATTCCCTTTTCACTTCATCAATCAGATGTTTATTTAGTATTTCTATTTTTACTTTCTTTATCGCATTATTTAAATAAGAAATTTCCTGCTTTATCTACAAAACATTTAAAAAAAAAAAAAAAAAACTTTCACCATATAGCGTGAATACTGAAAGCTTAGCAGGCATCAAATAAACCGATACAACAAACTATAAAAAATCACATACAAAAATCCCCATCAACCATGTTAACAGAATAAAACATGAAGTGCCCTAAAGCTACAATAATCATCCCTCGGCTCTTTTACACACAGACACACATACATACACATATATATATGTTGGTATGATCAGGCAATTTCTAACAAGTAAAGAAACTTTATGAAACTTGTCAACAAAATGAGATCTGAAGAGTCCTAAAACAAACCCTAACGAATCGGTACAGGTAAAAAAGTGTAAATAATACACGGCGACACACATACACAGAAGATCGGAACAGAAAAAGCACATAAACTAACAGTGAGATCTATATAGATATGTAGATATATGTATGTATATGTGAGAGAGCAAACCATTCTGGCTTTGCTAGGTCAGAGATGAGTCGCCTCAAGATTCGTCCTCGGCCTCTGCTGCTCTCCTTCTAGCTGTGACGACCACAATGGAAGGCTAAGTGGACTTCAGTTCGTCTTCATCATTGCTTAGGTTTGTCACGTATTAGGCCCAAGGATGGGCCTGGAGTTGGTTCTTGTTTCTTTCCAACTCCGCCCAATTTAAAGATTTGACAAAAGCCCAACATGGCCTGATCCCGAAAACGTTTTGGGCTGATCCGATACTGGCGGCCCTTTTGAGGCTTGGATAGAGCACTTTTTTGCTTTCACCTGTCAAATAACATATATATTAAACCTGTCAAATAACTCTCACACAATACTTGAACAGACATTATGTCTCACTTTGATAAACAAAGAGAGAAAAGAAAAATAATAATAATATAAATATATATTTTACAAGAAAAAATAATATTATTTATGAGAAAAGCAAAAAGGAAAAGACATATCAATAACTTGCACTATTAATGTTTAGATAAATTATGGAGTAAAAAAAAGAGAAAAAGATAACATTTTTATTTGAAAAAGGTAAAGATAATTTTTGATTTTTTTTTAACTAATTTATTATCATACTCTTTCGTTAATAAGTAACTCAAAATGTCTTTTAAATTTTCTTCGTTAAAATGTTAAGATTATTTTTGAAATTACTATATGAAAGTTTGATTTCTCTCTCTGTTTTCACTTCCAAAAAGATTAAAAAAACTTTCTTATACTTTCTTTTCTCTCCTCGGTAACAATCCAAACTTAAAAGTCACTATCCTCCAAATCTCCCATCATCCTTTCTTACATATCATTAAAATGCATCTTTTCAATTCCATCCGATCCAGTGAGGACCTAGAAAATTTTGTGAGTATGATGACCTTTTAATTTGTGGGACAAACTTATATAATGGTCCATTTTTATAATTTTAATACAATTTTCTTCATAATTTTTTTAAAATTTAAAATATAAAATACAAAAAAAAAAAAATTCAGTAGGGCAAATTGTAATTTTATGAGGGCATCTTCATAAATTCTTAAAAATTTGAAGTATAAAATATAAATAAAAAAAAAATTAGTGGGGACGCACTATAATTTTAGTAAAGGCATCTTTATAAATTTTTAAAAAATTAAAATTTAAAATAAAAATAGAAAAAAATTCAGTGAGAACCGGCGCCCACAAATCCTATATTAGGTTCTTGCCTGATCTGATCTATATTGAAATAAGGCTCCATATGGATGTGTTTAGAAGGGTGATATTAAATCCTTTAAATGATTTGATGACTGCTCTGTCTAATCACCTTAATAAATTTCATTTCTATAACATTTGGAACTATTATAAGTAATAAAGTCGTAATAATTTAAGTCAACAGAAGAACATATAACACATAAATTAGAATCACGTACACAATTACAATCTTTGATTAATTTTTGAAAGAAAACAAATGTTTTTCTTTTTTCTATAAACAAACTGAATTTCAACGTTATATAACTTATACAGGACCTGGATAGGAATTTTTTAAAATAAAAATAACAAGCGTTATTAATGAAATAATAACTATGCTAGAAAAAATTTAATATACATATACTTTTTTTTTTTTTAAGAATTCTAAATAAATAGGAGTTAATAATTAGATCTAGATATATATAGATAGATATAAAAATATAGATATAGATAAATGACACATTAGTTTGTAATAACAATGGATCGGCACTTTTGATCAAAACTGCTGATTAAATTAGAAAAAAAAAAAAAAAAATTGCAAAACTGTTGTATTTTCCCATTGGCCATCTGAACCTATTTTCCCATTGGTGATCTGGTCCATAAAGACTCGGTTTTTCAAGTCGTCGCGTCAAGTCTTCCCATAACACTAGGTTTTTCCACGTCTTATGAGGCAACGAAAACCAATAACAACTCGACACGTTTCAACTAATCACGCCTCCACCGTCCGATCGTCCACGTCGGCAACATCAAGCCAATCCAAATATTCTAAATCGTCATTGTAGGCCTAGCAGATCCAGTTCTCAAGCTCACTATATAACTACGAAGGAGTAATGCAGAGAATTTGAAACCAATCCACAGATCGATTTTGCAGAACAAATCTGTGCTTTGAATCGTAGCGAGGATGAGGAAGTGGTCGATCCCTTCCGTACTCTTTCTCCTATGCCTTCTCGCTCTCTTTCCAGATCAAGGTACGTTAGGGTTTTCTCTTTTGCCATCTCTGCATCTTCACACACACACACATGCATGTGTATATATCTTTTTGTGTGTGTGTAGACAAAGATTATTTAGCTATTGAATCATCTTTGAAGACGGAATGACATTCGGTTGGAGTATCAGTGGTTTTGAGAGTGAGTGTAGTTGAATTTTGGATCTTGTAGATTTGCGGTGTATGTATTTACGTATATGTATATGTTTTGGATTTTGATTTGTTGCTTTTTAAGGATCGTGCATTATAAGAAGAAATTACTTCGTCTTGTTTAGTTTTTGTAATATATTAGGTGCAATTTGTGGTATTTGGATCGAGTTTTTCAATTTCTCATCGTGAATCAGAACTAATTTTAGTGAATAATTAGTTGTTTTAAGCTGTTGATGTAGATGCTTATATGTATAATTTTGGATTTGATTTGTTGCTTTTGAGGATCGTGCATTATAAGAAAGAAATTACTCCGTGTTGTTTAGGTTTTGTAAGTACAGTAGGTGCAATTTGTGGTATTAAGACAGTGTTTTGCATTTTCTAATCGTGAATCAGAGTTGATTGAAGTGAAAAATTAGTTGGTTTTCTGCTTTACAGCTACTGATTTTGTTTGTGGTCCTTAGGTCGGAAGCTACACGCAAATGCGGAAGGTAATTCTGAAGGACTTGTAGATCCACCTAAGGTAGAAGAAAAGATCGGTGCTGTTCCAAATGGTTTATCCACGGATTCCGATGTTGTCAAGAGGTTCGTAATTTGGCAATGATTTGCATTCTTTGCTCTGTTGGTTAGCATTCTTTGGGTATTCTAAAAGGAAGTTCAATTTTATGCTTCAGGGAAGCTGAGTCAATGTCAAAGAGATCACTCCGCAGTAATGCTGAGAAATTCGAGTTTCAGGCTGAGGTGTCTCGGCTCATGGACATCATTATCAACTCTCTTTACAGCAACAAAGATATTTTCCTGAGGGAGTTAATCTCCAATGCTTCTGATGTGAGCATATTTTACTTGTAATTTTTTTGGGATTGTCAGATTTTTTTGATGATTATTTATGAGATATTATTTCAATTTCAGGCGCTGGACAAGATTAGGTTCCTTGCACTCACTGACAAGGAAGTTTTGGGTGAAGGTGATAATACTAAGCTTGAGATCCAGGTTAGTAAGAGATGGTTTTAGTATTGTACTTGTAGTCTGAACTTTCAATTAATATTAAATATGGTGCTTTTAATGGTTTGAAAGTCAAGCTTATAATCTGGTAAATGCAGATCAAATTAGACAAAGAAAAGAAAATTCTTTCTATTCGTGATAGAGGGATAGGTATGACGAAGGAGGATTTGATTAAGAACTTGGGAACCATAGCCAAATCTGGAACATCAGGTATCTTTATTTGTTTATTTATTTTTGATAAGTTTTGGTATCTTTATTTTGTAAAGGATGAATGTATTCCAATTACAACATCGACTTTTCTTCTTTCCTTTGTGGGATTGAGGAATGATGGGCATTGATTAAATTTACTTTTTTATACAGCTTTTGTGGAGAAAATGCAAACAAGTGGAGACCTTAATCTCATTGGTCAGTTTGGTGTTGGGTTCTACTCAGTATATCTTGTTGCTGACTATGTTGAAGTTGTTAGCAAACATAATGATGACAAACAGTATGTCCCTTTGGGCCATTTCATTTTCAAGCAATTGTTACTATCTTATGGTAGAAATATGATGTTTATTTAATTATTTCCTCAGGTATGTATGGGAATCAAAGGCTGATGGAGCATTTGCTATTTCTGAGGATGTTTGGAATGAGCCACTTGGGCGTGGAACTGAAATCAGATTGCATCTTAGAGAAGAAGCTGGGGAGTACTTGGAGGAGAGCAAATTAAAGGTGTGTAAACTAAAAATGTATGATGAAATGATAATTTTCAGTTGGTTTTTAGATTAGTACCTTTGTCTTTATAATTTATAATACCTATATTGGGAGCCATGTTCATCATTGGTTTTGTGACCAGTGGCTAGGACATAAAATTACTTATAACCATAAGTTCATTCTGATTCTGTACTTGCATACTTTATGTTTCACATGAGGTAAGAAGGCCTCAAAGCCTGCTCAAATTTTTATTTTTCCCATTTTTCCAGTGGTATTCCTACCCGGAAAAGAGTATTTGTTTCTTGAAAGATGTATGTCAATACACTTTGCAGAGAGATTTGTTTCATGAAAGATGTATGTCAATACACTTTGCAGAGAGATTGAACTACTTTCTACCGCTATTGATGCGTCATTGCACTTCCCCCACACTGCCACAGCTACCCTCTTCACCACTCCTATATTAACTATGTCTTTGTTGTTGAGACCTTGCCACTTTTACCGCACTATCTATACATGTCTACCGCATTGTATTCACCTATATGTGTCGGGAACATGCATGGCATGTCTACCACATTCTTGGCACTCATTTTGCTTAAACAGTCATCTGGCACGCGTGAGAGAACTTGGATATTATATTCAAATTAGGTGTGGGAAAACTTAAAAAAGGTAGTCCACCATGTATCTTACAATCCATCTGCTTCTCTTTCCCTTTATAACCCATGAAGAAAAAAATTAATTGGTGCATTGATATGGGGAAGGATTTCCATCTGTTAGACAATGGAAAGCAATTCTTCTATTTTTTTCCCAGTATGGAAAGTTGTATTGGTCTATGATTTTGTTTAGGCTGGTTTGGTTATGTATAGAAGAGTTTATAGTTGATCAACTAGCTGTGGGGTGCGGACATAGGGGTGAGTCAGGTGACCTCAAAGAGATACATTGTACCATGAGTGAGAAGAAAATCAAAGGACAGATTTTTGCTGCCCCTATGCAAACAGAGGCAGCAGATCAAATATTATATGATTATTTTTCACTACATCTTTGATACGTAATTTGTTGCAATTGAATTCTTGAGTTGCCATTTTTTAGTAGCAGAAATATGGTCCTGATTTCTGCTACTGAACTTAAGTATCTCATTTTTTGGCAGTAGTTTCACTGATATAGTGAATTATACTTTATGTGTGTGATTTATATGCTTGCTTTTATTATGAAAATGTTTAGGATTGAAGAATCTTATACTCCTCTATTCTCTGGATGGATTTCCTCAAGATTTATTGTTTCCACATGTGCTTCATTCTATATGGCTGAGGTTTTTGATATAAATCATGGATATTGGTGCATGTAGGATTTGGTGAAGAAATACTCAGAGTTCATCAATTTCCCCATAAACCTTTGGGCAAGCAAAGAGGTTGATGTTGAGGTTCCAGCAGATGAAGATGAAGAAGAGGAAACACGTATTCACAATGAATCTACTTTTCTTTGAATTTTTTGCTCAAAATATTTAGAATTGATATAACAAAGTTACATATACTAATGTTTAGAAAGGACATTATGATCTACTTAGTAATTCTTGCTGGTTCCCTTGCCTTTGTCTCCAATTTTACAAACAGCTGAAGGCAGCTCTTCTGAAGAAGGCGAGGATGAAGAAAGTGACAAAGGGGAAGATGAAGATGGTGAGAAGAAACCAAAGACAAAGAAAGTGAAGGAAACAACTTACGAATGGGAGCTTTTGAATGATATGAAAGCTATATGGCTAAGGAGTCCAAAGGAGGTGACAGATGAAGAGTACGCAAAATTCTACCACTCTCTGGCCAAGGTAAATTGCCATATTGAGATCATACTTTGCTTGCAGGAAACTTGTGAATGTCCCAGAGAAATGTAGTAAATTTTCCTAGTAGAATTTTATTCATCAGATGTACTTCTGGTTTGTTCAACAGGACTTCAGTGATGAGAAGCCTCTTGCATGGAGTCACTTCACTGCGGAAGGTGATGTGGAGTTCAAGGCTGTATTGTTTGTACCACCTAATGCTCCTCAAGATTTGTATGAGAGTTACTATAATGCCAACAAATCCAACTTGAAGTTATATGTTAGAAGGGTCTTTATCTCAGATGAATTTGATGAACTTTTACCAAAGTATCTTAGCTTTTTGAAGGTAATGAAGGTTATATATATATATATATTATTGCATTCTTGTGAAACAGACAACATATAGGTTGGGCTTTGGTTTTGGTTCTTAATGGTTATAATGTCTACCAGGGTCTTGTTGATTCTGACACCTTACCACTTAATGTATCACGAGAAATGCTTCAACAACACAGCAGCTTGAAAACAATCAAGAAGAAACTCATACGAAAGGCCCTAGATATGATCCGAAAGATTGCTGAAGAAGATCCTGATGAATCCTATGGCGAAGACAAGAAAGGTATCTCTAATTAACTTCAGAGGCTTGTTAAAAAATTACGTTAATGGGGAAGTTCCTCGTATCTTTGTGGCCTAATAAATGCTATGTGATTTGCCAATCCTGGCTGAGTTACCGATTCATTTTCACAGTGCCTGTCTGCTTAAATTATAGAGGGGACTTATAAACTTCTATGTTCAAACATAATTTAGTGCTATCTGGGCTTAATTTATATCTTTTCTGGTAATTGTGGTTATTTGATATTGTCATTATGATTTCCTCTCCATCCCCACCCTCATTTGATGTTGAATTTCAACCACATTGCAGATGTTGAAGAATCTGGTGACGACAATGAGAAGAAGGGGCAATATACAAAGTTCTGGAATGAGTTTGGAAAATCAATAAAACTTGGTATCGTTGAGGATGCGGCTAACAGAAACCGCTTGGCAAAACTTCTCAGATTTGAGAGGTACCTTACCTGTTCTGTACTGTCTCAGGCTTTATTTATTACTGTCTTTGAATGTCATTCTCCTCCAGAGGAATTCAATTTGTATATGGTTTATTGTTTCAGTACGATGTCAGATGGTAAATTAACTTCACTGGATCAGTATATTAAAAGAATGAAACCTGGTCAGAAGGATATTTTCTACATAACAGGAACTAGCAAGGATCAATTGGAGAAATCTCCATTCCTTGAGAGGCTTACTAAGAAAAATTATGAGGTATGTTTAGCCTTTCTAGGAAATTGTTTCTGATTTTTTATATCTTGAATATGTTTTTTTTATGCCTTTGCTTTTAATTGATATTTGAATTTATGCTTATTTCAACACTAATCCTATAAGCATTAATTGTGCAGGTCATTTTCTTCACGGATCCTGTGGATGAATACTTGATGCAATACCTGATGGATTATGAAGATAAGAAGTTCCAGAACGTGTCCAAGGAGGGCCTGAAACTTGGGAAAGACTCCAAGGATAAGGAACTCAAGGAGTCATTCAAGGAATTGACCAAATGGTGGAAGGGTGCTCTTGCCAGTGAGAATGTGGATGATGTGAAGATAAGCAACCGTCTTGCCGACAGCCCTTGTGTGGTCGTGACATCGAAGTTTGGCTGGAGTGCCAATATGGAGAGGATCATGCAATCACAGACTCTGTCAGATGCTAAGAAGCAGGCGTACATGCGTGGCAAGAGGGTGCTTGAGATCAACCCAAGGCATCCAATTATCAAAAAGCTTAGGGAGAGCATAGTAAAGGACCCTGAGGTACGACTTTTCGAAATCCTCTCATTCTATACTTGATTTTGATAATATAAGCTTTTCATAAATCAGACTTACAGTGGACATTCTAGTTAGTCCTTAAATGGACAAACATTGTTACAATGAAACAAAATCTCTTGGAATTATGTTCTGCATCGAGAGCTTATCAGTGACTTGCTTTTCAGAATCAGAGCTTGAAGGATACAGCCCACCTCATGTACCAAACGGCACTGATGGAGAGTGGCTTTGTTGAGGTACTCAATAACCCCAAGGTTTTTGCTTCCCGTATCTATAACTCGGTGAAGACTAGTCTGGATGTTAGCCCCGATGAGACTGTAGAGGAGGAAGATGATGCTGAAGAAGCTGAGGCTGAATCTGAGACGAAAGAAGAAGCATCTGAGCCTTCTGGCGGCATCAAGGACGAGTTGTAGATTTCCTGAACTGAACGAAGATCACTTCTAGTTTTCCATTAGGAGGGGACTGTATTTCTTGTGTCCAGTCTCTTGAGAGAATCCCAGAGACCACTACATACTATTTTGTTTTTGTTTGCTCACTCGTGTAAGATTCGGTTAGAGAGAATGTTAGATTAAATCATAGACCTGTAATACTATCAGGATTTTGCCTCTTGCATTAAGGTTTACTAGAATTTGTCTTGACATGCTCTGGTATCCTAGTTTTCTATGCTGTTGAAGAGTGGTGTCTGATAATCTCTGATTTTATCATATGTTTTTTTGGTTAGAGATTAAGAAAATTGCTGGACTGGGTTCCTGCGTTCAGCTCCGCACTGGATGCACCACAGGATCCCCCTCCTGTGGTAGAAGTTATTCTATGAGGTGGTTTAGGGCTTCAAATGCGTTGGTAATGAAAATGCAGTAGTTATGTTTGACGTTATGTTTGACAATACCGAATTGACACTTTAAATTTGGGATTGGAGGAATTTTAGTACAAAGTTTGAACTAAATTTCTTTTAATGAGTGATTTTTAAAACTGAGTTGACATTGAAGAAAGGTTTCAGGTCCTCTAGAGGAAGAAATGTGTATTCAGGTTATTAAGACAAAAAAAAAAAAGGAAGAAAGAGAGATAGAAGTAAGAGACTATCCAAAAGTGACAGCTATTCAATTTTGTTTACTTTCATTAAAGAATTCTGAAGTTGAAATTTTTTTTACAGTATCGTCTCAAATTGGTTTCATTTTATGGGGTTTGTGTTTTTGCCCTAATCTAAGATAATTTATGCACTCACTTTTGTTCTTAGTGAAACTTGAACCGTGATCTTACATTTTGAAGACTAGAGCTCGTCGGTCTTTGGAATTGATTCTTATGCCATATTCGATCTGAGGTGTGAAGTAAAACTTCTGTATGTGTTTGTATATATATATATGTGTGTGGGTATGTGAGATTGTAGAATAAGAATCTCCAATTTTTTTCATAACTACTTGAGTTGTGTCTATCAAATGCTTATGTGAGATTGTAGAATGAGAATCACCAAAATTTCCATAAATAAAGACTTGTGTCTGCAATTTGGTAACTAAAAAGTATAACCTGGAGATGTCATTTAGAAACTATGCATGAATTGATATTGAACATAAATATTTATTCATTTCCTTGGTGTGTGTATAATATAGTTTATATATATATATATATATATAAGTATGACTGATTTATGTGAGTAGGGCTGACATTATCATGATGTGTCCTTAATATTCATGATGTCACGATAATATCAGCCTTACTCACATAAAATTACTGGAATGGGTCTGATTATTAAACACATCATAGTTTTCACTTGAGCCTACCAAGTACAATACTGGAATTCTACTCCCCTGTTTCTGTACCCACTCTTGCTTTGAACTCAAACAACATAATCAATCTGCAGAGTGCATCTGGAAATGAATACTTTTGACAAAACACAAGATTCTTCAATTATTATTATTTTGTTTTTTAAGCACACCAACCGCACAAATCAAGCATTTAATTGCAGCCGTCCATGAATAAACAAAACACCACTTTGACGGAGATTTGATTCTCTCGACATAAAAGGAAATATAAATTATTAACAAAGAGTTAAAAGATGATTTATTTTTACTTTTCAATTATAACTATAAAAAGTGTGTGTATATAAGGAGTTGCTTAATTGTATAAATAAATTTGCTATAGGGGTGACAATTGAGTAGGTTTAGGCGGGTTTAGAATGAGTTGAGTGTGAATGGGTTAATAATTCATTCTCGACCCATCAATAGTGAGTCATAAAGGAGTAAGAGTTTAAATAAGCAGATCAAAATGGGTTAAGGCATTTCCCCCTCCCCCGAGGGAAATTTTTTACTTTCCTAACAATTTTTCTTTTTCTTTTTTTCCTTTGAGAAAAATCACTAAACAACTTAATCAACAATATTAATTAATTTTTTGATTTCAAGAGTTAATTTTTTTTTTTTTTTTTTTTTTTAAATTTGTTTTAAAAAAAGTCACTATACAACTTACTCAACAATGTTAATTACATATATTTAAAAAAAGAAATTTTGAGCAAAAGTTTTAATTAATTGTTAGTCATTTATTTTATACAAACAGAAAAGAAAAGAAGCAAGCAGGAGGAAAGGGAACAGAGAAGAAAAAGAAAGGAGGAGAGAGAGAGAAAAAAAAAAAAAAATAGAAAAAAAAAAAGAAAGGAGGGGAGAGAAAAAAAAAGTGAAAAAAAATGAAAAAGATAAAAGAGAAGGAGATATGGAAGAGAAAAAAAAGAGGGTTTTGTTTGAGTGGGTTAAGATGAATACTCATTATTAATCCATCATTGACCATTGAATTTTATGAGTACCCACTTTTTATCTATTGTTACCTACTCACTTAAATTTTGGTGCTCAAATAATTTAATTTTAGTAGAGGATTTTAGGTGATTTAATGGATTTGGACTTAAATTGCCACATTAATTTACTCTATCACAAAGCTTGAACTAGGTCTGCTTGATGTGAGTTTTTAAAATTTTTTATTTATTTATATTAAATTTTTGAACCTCAAAAGGAAAAGAGAAGCAAGACACTAACCTCTCATTAGAGTTATTTAATATTTTTTTTTTCCTATTAGAGTTATTTAATATTTAGTTACTATATTGTGAGAGACAACTATATCTTTGGGAATATGTATCTCCTAAAAGATGTTTTTGAGGATGAACATGCAATTGGTTATTCCAATGATATTGTTTATGATTTATTGTATATAAGATTTTAAATAAATTAAAAGACTAGCTAAGTTCAATATATATATATATATATATCACCTTGGTTCCAATTACTTTAATAGAATCTCAGTTGCATTAATGGTTGATCGATGCTATTTTGGCTTTAGATTTAAGTTAAAATTAATTCATATTCTTAAAATTTAAAAGAGTTATGTAAATTACAAATTAACAACAAATTTATTATTTTATAATAGTTGGAGTATATAATTTTTTCCCCCCCTAGTTTTAGAGTAAATATAATCTTGTCAATATATAAAATCGCAAAGTAAAAAAATTATCACTTCGAAGCTGAGTTTGACTAAGATTTTTTGTCATACTATTTGGCTATGTTAAGAGTTTATAATCTTGTCGATGTATTGCCATTTTTTTTAAGGCACCAGTAAAATTGCTTCTTAATAATTTGGAGGTTACAAATTCTAAATCAGACATAACCTCTTTATGTGAAGGTAAGATCCTTTTTCAAATCTTCCAGTCCCAAAAGTATTGTGTATTTAACTAATCTTTTTATATATAATTTTGTCAATTGTTATCAAGTAATTGTTTTGAATCGAAATGCATTTTTCTTGGCCTTTTCAGCCTTAGTCAGCATTCCTATCTTTTGTCATGATATATAATGTACAAAAACATCCTGTAAAATAGAAAGTGTGTTTGGCTTAATAAATTGGTGTCACTCATCATCACTTGTCTTCATAAACAGACAACATGTAGGTTTGTTCGTTACTAATGCATGCCATGTGACCCCTAGACATGTTTTGTCAATCACACACAATCAATATCAATTGCCCAGTTCATAAGCTAGCCATTAGGTTTGCTTTGAGAAAGTTTTTGGTGTCTTTCTGTCTTTGTTACAAGGAATTGGTACGGATATCTCGGACACAGATATATATATTTATGCGTTGGACGTATCAAATTTTTAAATAAAAGGACACAGAAATATGACTAAATATTTATTTTATTAATTATTTTATTTTATTTTTAAAAGTAAAATAATATTTTTATCTAATATAATGTTCAATATATACATTTAATTCATTTTAAAATAATAATATAAAGTAATTGAATAATTGAATATGCTTTTTAAGTATATGTCTAACTAAAAGTATTCGACACATATTCCATACTCATGTCCGAGGGTACGTGTCCGATACAAGTACTCTATTACTTTTGATGAGTTCATATAACAGTTTTCAGTTGTAGATGATGTTTTATATGTGTGTGTCTATATATATAGAGAGAGAGTGTGTGTATACAATTGGTTGTATTGGAATATTAATTGGTACCCATATTCTGAATTGTCTCTGCTACTTTTCAATACTTATCAAATTAAGTAACAAAAATAAAAATAAAAAATAAAAAATAAGTATGGTCGATAATTAAACAATGAATTCAGAAGAGAGAGACAGAGGTGGACTTAATTAAAAATGCATATTTTTTCAAGACATGAATGTTAGGGGTTGGTAATTAAAAAAGAGAAAAAAATGCAAGACTTGAAACAGCATTTGAGACAAAAAAACAAACAAAAAAAAAAACCTAACTATTCGATCAACACGACATTTACACTGCGAAAATACAACCAATCCAATCAAAAGTATCTCAAAAACTGATTTATTTATTAATTATAAAGAAGTGTTTGTTGTTCCCTAGCTCACACATTCAACCAATTTCATCACTCACATTACCATCACAGAGAACCTTTTGTTTTTTTTTTAATAACTTTTTTTCTTTAAAAAGGAAAAGAAAAGGTTAAACTTTTTATAGTCCTTGATTTCACCACATATCTTTCTAAGTATCAAGTTTAGTACCTTGTTCTCGCTAATCAAGAATTAATGCTAAAAGATATGAAGATACAAAGTGCCTTGGACACAAGTTGAAATTCCCTATGCACCGACCAAAATTATTTATTTCTTAATTGTGATTTGTTTAAGATGGAAGGGACATATCATAACACAAGATGGTAAAGTTGATATAAATTTGGTGACGAGTTTAATTATATAATTTATATGTGTATAAACAAGTTCAATGTAAGAAGGGTGTATTAGGAATATTGTAAAATATAGTATATTAATTTTTGAATTGAGACAATTAGAAATAAAAAAAAAATTGGAAATGAAGAAAGTATGGACATCCTCTATTTGTAATTTTAAAAAAATAATTTTCAATAATTTATAAAATAAAAAACTATTTTTTAATAAGTATAAAAGACAATTATCTGAAAACAGTCTTTTTATAATTGATTTTAAAAAAAATTAAATCAAGTAGAATTTTTGTACAATTTTCTAATTTTAAATATTTGAAACTATCAATTATTTTAGAGATATGCATGATTATTACTTTTTAATTCATGAAAGTAGACATTTTTTTTTTTTTTTAATTTTTTAAATAAGTGTTGGCATTTGTCTTTGTAGGAGTCCAATCTCATGTCCAATCATCAGACTTTGTCATGTCCGAAAAAATATTAAATAATTCTAGAGCATTGATATTTGATTGATGAGTTAAATTTAGACTTTGAATTGAGAAAATGACCCCCACTAAAAATATATTAGTGTATTAATGTATTATAAAAAAATCTTAACCATGAATCTACCAAATATCAAATAAACCAGGATCATATAATAAATTTTCCTCGTGTCGTTGATATTTTTCTTCATGAAAAAATAGCAGGATCATATATGTATAGTGACTTTAGTCTATAAACAAAGGGAATTACAATAATTAATGTGCCATTAGTTCAATGATATAGAAGGAAAGGAGTTTCAATCCTAAGGTGGACAATGTGTGCAAATATTTGCCAAAAAAATATTAAAAAAAATAAAAAAAGAAAGAAATAGAAAAAGAAAGAAATCCTAACATAGTTTTGTTTATAGATTCTTAGGATCTTATCCTTCCAGATATATTATAAAAAATAATAATAAGAAAAAAAGAGAAGTTCTACTCACCGAAAAAGAAAGGATAATTATTAGTATTATTATGATCATTATTCTGTAACAAATAATACAACCATCCATTTTGATCACTTGAGAACTAATTCTTAATATTTCTCTTTAGAGAGTTGTTTGATGTTCAATAAAATACAACCTGTTTCCAAATTCAAATCCCATCAAATCCAGCATTCTAAACAAAATTTTGTTGGGGAATATTTTGGTATTTTTTGTATTTGTTTTATTGTTTTAGTACAAAAGTATTTATATCTCAATCTAAACTATTTGTATTACTTTTATTGTTTTAGTAGAAGGGTATTTATAGCTCAATCTAAACTATCTTTATTACTTTGTTGTTTTAGTACAAAAGTATTTATATCTCATACTAAACTATCTGTATTACTTTTAGGTGAACAACCTATCTATATTACTTTTATTTTTCGTTTAGACTGGCATATTCACAACAACATTTTATATGAAATCGTGAACTTATAGAGATGATAATAGCAAAATTATATTCATTATCTTGAATTGAGTAATTAATGATAAAAGTTAACATCCAAATGATGTTGGAATGGCCCTTTTAGGGAGACACCATTATTTCATCTTTGGATACAAAAATATATATCTATAACTATAAATAAGCAATCACATAACTACCAAACTTGCAATTCCAGTAAAGGGTATGATACCCATCAACCACCGCTGGGGACAGATTCAAAGAAAAGCAAACCCTACTTTCTCTCTCATTCTTCTAAATTAATTAAACCATTTTTAATTAAAAAAATAAAAAATAAAAGCACCACCACTTTCAAAAAGCTATTCCCTTTCAATTCATTCTTTGTTTTGCCTTGCACATCTTCTTCGAATTAATACTTGGAATTAAAAAAAATACAAACAAACAAACTTAATTCGCTATACGCATGGCGTGTGGAAAATTGTGCTTTACAATCTGGATTTTCATCAGCTTTTCACTCAATGTGAATCCCAAGTCACCAATAAAGCAGCATGCATGTGCTCTAGAGAGAGAAAGAGAGGAGAGAGAGAGAGAGACTATAAATGAAGTAAAGAGAGGATTAGAAAGGTGAAAGTAGATTGCAGTGCAAAATTGGAGATGGTTTTTGATGAGCCTCCTGGCACAAAGTTTGGTAACCATGAACTGTCGGGAAAATATGGGCTATCTGTTGACCCGGAACCGGACCCGGACCCGGACCCGTATGATGTTCCCGGAGTTACTGTTGACCCATTTGTTGTTGTGCTAGTCATTGGCGATGAAGAGTCTCTTGAAGATTTTTGGCTGTAGGAGACATAATATATAATTGATATTAGAAAATACTTCATTAAATATTTCTTAGCAAACAACCTTATTAAATAAATTTTTTTTGCAGAAAAAAGATCATCATCAATTGGCAATAATCTCGAACTTATCGTCCAAAATTATGAATTTATACAAAAAAAAATTCAGTTCTCTTAGAATGCATGTAATTGGACGACACTATCTTGTAAAAATGACTATATTTACTTGAATTTGATATTTATGTTTGTGAACCAGAATCATTACATCAATCAAAGAACTTTTATCATATGCTCACAAATAACTACTCGTTGTTTATTTGTTGTTAGATTCGACACTATTGTTAATAATAAGTCCCTTGACAAATTGGCATGCCATCAATAAAGTGACATCATAAAAACAGAATAAATGAAAAAAAGTGAGTTGCATGGGGTGGGAATAGAATATAATTGATAAACATGAATTGACAAATGAATCATACATACCTCGTCACGGAAGGGCAGAATGTAATTGTATAATCTGCTCCGGTACACGTAAATGTACTTGTGGCATCATCATATGCGTAACTATATGATCTTGGACATGCTGATTTAAACATTTGTGAATAAACTGACGGTTTACAAGTGTTCGGTGTGGCATACGCACCACTGCAACAGTATTCTGGACTCCCAAACGCCTCGCACGCGCTCTTACACGCCTGCCCATCCTCGGCCCGCAACTCAGCCGGGCACTGCTGGTTCAAATCTGCCACGCACCCGGTCGACCCACAAGCGCCCGACCCGCCACTTGCTTCCACCAACATTGGCAAATTGTACCCATCAACTAAACTAACGTCATAGAAGTCCTGGGTACCCGATTGCCCACCCGACCCAATTGTGAACTCGGCTAGAGATGCCGGTGGTGCCGCACCGGCTCCATTGCACTCCACCTGGTTGGACCCACAATCCCCCGAGGCACAGCTTCCTTGACCGGTATTGACATTGAAAACGCAACCGGTTCTGCCCCAAAACCGCCCTGACCAAAGCTGCGGAGCTTGGAAGGACCGAGATCCACCGGGTGCAAGCTCAAACCCGGTGCTTTCTAATCTGGCGCTACCCGCATTGGCTAGAATTCCCGGCCATACCGTGTGGTCACACCTGTTTATTATAGTAAATGTTGCCCCGGAAGTGCCTGAAACAACCATAACCATATTGATCAATAAACATAAAAATTGCATACATTCTTACACACACACACAAAAACACACACACACACACACACACACACACACAAAACCCCATATGGAAGTAATGAAAATTATGTGCTTTCACCTCTAGAGAATGCAAAGAAAATGATAGTGAGGAACAGAGGAGAAGAGGATGAGAAGATCAGATCCATTAGCAGAGAGATAACAAAGATAGATTATGGGTTTTTGTGTTAGTGATTAATAGATCTTAATATAATGTAAGGTACTGTTTGTTTGGTTTGAAGAGAATATGAGAATATGAAGAAGAAGAAGATGAAGATGAAGAAAAAAGTAAGTAAAGAAACTTTCTTTGGAATGACAACTGGCAATGAGAGATGAAGAATGGGATTTGGGTTGGATTTTGCTGCCCATATACAATCATAAGTTGTGTTGGAGATGGAGGGAGAGAGAGAATGAAGAAGGAACTGATGAGAAATGAGAATGAAAGGCGTGTTAGAACTTCAACTCTATATATAATATATGAGATATAGACACAGAGATATATAGGAATATAATACACTGTTGTGTAATACCAAAATCACCCAATTAACTTGGGGTAGCCAAACTTTATGAAAGTCGTTTACCATCCTACTTTGGTGACTCATGACTGAGTTTCTTGACATCTAAGCACCTAGTTTTTAATTTCCTCTGTTTCAATTCAAAATATCAAATGTCTAAATTGGTTTCCATCACAAATTATTTTCTAAGTACTAATATTTTAATAGACTGATCTTTCTTGATGTTTGGGCAAATTACACATGATAATGGTTTATTACTTTGACATCTCCTAAGTTTTGATGTGTATGTACGATTTTTATCATTCTCTTGTATAAAAATTTACCATTTCCTTATAAGAAATGAGATATCACTGTCTTTTCATGCTCTAAGTGGTTAAAAGTAATAAATACTTAACAACTCTCAGAGGAGGTCAATAACCTGATAATGGTATTATCTCATATTTTATTAAAGCTAACAGTAAAAAAAATTCGATGTCCGAGACGATTGTGAGAGTTTTACACCCAAAACCTAGTAAAAGTTAGTAGAACTCTCACTATATAAAGGAACAATGATCCATAATCTTTTTCCAATATTTATTTTACATAATTGTTTTTTATCACTAATTCGTAGAAAAAAAAAATATAAATGGAAAATTGTTATTTTTACAATTTCAAAAGAAAGTGGAATGAGTTGAGTATGTGATAAAAGCCAATTTTACATGATTTGGTAAACAATCTTAATTTCCCTTTTTTAGAACTCTTACAAATAATTAAACTAATCATATCCCTAGTGAATAAATGATGTATTAACTGAACATAGAGAGAAAGTAGTTCAAGATGACTTAATTAGGTGAAACCTAATCATATTTCAGTCAAGGTTTAAGGGACTAATTTGATTCAAGATCCAAATCTAATCATCTATCTATATCTAAATAATAGTTTTCATGGTACTACTAAAAATAGAGGAATCCAAATAAAATCCTACTAATTATTTGCATTCTTTGATGCGATTCTAATTCTTTTCTATTTTTAGAATACTAATTGCTCAATTGAATAAATCCAAATACTCTTTTGCATCATTTCATTATGCATTATTTATGCAACAATAGCTATATTTTCATACTAACCGGTCAGTGACCTACCGATATTAGATTTCTATTTTTCAAAGGGAGATTAATAATTCAAGTTTCAGAGAAGACGTGTGTTAGTGAGTACCAACTAAAAAAATAAAAAATTATATTTTTATTTATATATTGTAATACAATGTCGTTGCACCAAATAAATTATGCCGCAAATGTTGTAGTAAATCAATTGGTTTGAGAGAGAAGATCCAAATTTTGAGTAAGGTCAATCACTGAATAGTCTACACAGTAGTAATCTGTTCATGATATTCAGTATTGATGTTGTATTCTTCTAACCAAAAATTCCAACTAACTAAAGTGTCACAAGAAAATTTCTTCAAGAATCTAGACTTTTTATAGGCCAATTTTACATTTGTATGGTCTATGATTGGCAACTTTTAAGTGGAATTGGATTCTAATGAGCTGTTGAACTAAATAATTTGAAACCAATGAGAGGTCATAGTGAGTTGTTGACTAGAATCACGTAATTTATGAAATGCTGTTATTAGGCAATTATCCTGAATGTGGCTCTAAGAAAATCCTAACATTCCATTTTTAAGAATGAAGTAAGAGTCTTGTCATTAGATCCTCTTTTGGGGTTAAGATCATTAGCGAGTAAAATGTATTGAACACTCAACTTCTCGTTAGCTCTGGCTTGAGTAAAGGACATGTAACTCAGAATGAATATTTTATCTCCATTCTATGATTCTTTTCTCAAATATAGGCTTTTATTATTTCTAAATATTCTAATGGACTGCATGACTTGGAATCGAAATTGTTGGAATTTTTAAAAAAGAAGTAAGAAAATTGAATCAAAATTTTTTCAAATTCTCCAAATTCTAATTCTAAAATTTTAATTTCATGCAACCGAATACATCCTAAAAATATTATTTAACAAAATTAAAAAACAAATTGAATTTTGCATATTAACAATACTTAATTGAACTTTTCTTGTAGAGAGAATTAAACAAGCACGTGACATCTTAAACCAGTAATTTTCTGATTCAAATTTGTCTTGCTGTTTTAATTTTCAATCAAATACTTTATTCTCTTAATTTTTTTAACAATTGAAATGACAAAAAATATTTCTCAAAAGTGGGATGCAACTGTACTATTTTAAATAATTATAGAGTTTAAACATATTTATGTTAAATTTTTATTATTAAAAAAAAAACAAATGGAGTAGAAGAAAAGGTGTGAAACGAGAATAGAAATTATTCACTTTTACCCGCAAAATTGGACTATTAAACATGGAGTGGCGATAAAAATATAGAGCGATAAAGGTGGTATTTTTTTTTATGGTCTTCAAAAGTAAGAGACGGAAGATAAGTCTCCTTTAGACACTATTTCCTATAATTTAGCCTATTTAGAGCCCAAACTTTTGGGTTTCTAAGTTACTAAAATTCTTATTCCGTAACTTATATTCATTAGAAATTTTAACAATTTCTTTACCTTTTATCCAAATCTTTTTGGTTCAGTATTTCTTTTACTTTTTTTATTTATTATTAATTATTATCTACTTTTATTATAAATACAATGTTTTGGACCACTAGTAGAGTAAAATATGTAAACACTTGGGCCCAATATTCTATAATTTTAGAAAACTGAATAATCGTATTTCTTTAGCAGTTTAGGAGTTAGGACCACCGCCTCCACAGTCCACATAGACCTTGACTAACCAATAATATATATATATATATATTGTCCTATATTATATTCCGGCTCTCCACCCAAATCCCTCTCTTGAAGACTTGAACTATGCATAATTTTACACTAAGTCCATATTCAGTAATGTTATCTAGAGTATGTGAATTATAATTATTCATGCCAAACATTAATTATAAATATACATGTTATAATATTTGTGTGAGAATATTAAACACAAATATAATTTCCTTTTTGTAGGAGAATATTAAACACAAATAATAATCAAAGGAAATTAAACTTCATTATTTTCACATATTTATAATATATAAATAAATAATTAAATATAAATACCTCCATCCGTGATACCAAATCGCAAAAGTGCAACTCCAACCAATAGCCAAAGCCTAAAAATAGGCATAAACATTATAAGTGTTGTTTTAGTAGTGTACATAATCGATGGGATAAATGCACTTTTATAAAGGTAAAGAGAATACCTTTTTATTTTAGTAATCCTAATTCCACTTTCAATCGAAATAAGGAACAAATAGGAAAATACTTTCCTAATAAGTATTCCTAATTCCACTTTTAATCAAAATAAGAAATCAATAGAATAATCTTTTCTCAATAAGTAATCCTAATTCTACTTTCAATCAAAGTAAGGAACAAATAGGAATATACTTTTCCAATAATTAAATATCAAAAAAATAATTTATTAGTTGACTAAACAATATAATATTAGTCTTATATCTATTTACTTAACCACTAAATAATTTTACATATAAGATTAAAGTCTGAATTTTTTTTTGGGATAAATATATACGGAGTAATTTGTTTAGACCATATATCTATGTTATAACAACAGAATGGAATACTGATTTGTTACGGTGATAAAATAAGTTTTGTTTTGTTTTTTTGTTTTGTTTTTTATAAATATAGATCCTTCTAGAATCTAAACGTGAGTATTGGATTTGTTTAAAAGTGCTTAGTTTCAGATAAAATTTTAGAAAATGGGGTTATTATGAATGAGAAGTTAAGCTGCCTTGTGAATAAAAGTTATACTAGCTTTCCCTATCTAAGGTTGGATTGACCATGCAAAAACACAGACACACACTGCCACATAGATTTGCAGATGTGTGTATGTTTGTGGATATAACTATGGCGGCAAACAGGCTGACGTGCGAAGGTGGAATATCGACGCAGCAAGTCAATGCGGCAAAAAAAGGTGATATATATACGGACAAAAAAATCCACACACACACACACACACACACATATATATTGCTGCAATTTACAATTACGTGCAGGATGAATTTGATGTTCTACATTGAGAATATATTCAATTGAAGTCTCAAGTCCTCTCACGGATCTAGTCAGCCAATAATTGGCTGCCAATACTCCATAAAATTTTACACGTGACTGATCACAATTTCCATTGCCTTTATTTATTTATTTTGACTTTTCTTATGTACGTAGCAACTAAAATAGACATTTAAACAATAACTTTAGTGATCACCTAATTCAAATACTAATTTCTTTAACAAAAATAAAAAATTAATGCATATCATCAATAAAATAAACTTCATACATTTGCTTTATTAGATTTTATCTTAATTTCTAAATTGAGAAAATCAAAGCATTTCAATTTACTTCATTTTAATTATTTTTGAGGCAATACTATTACAGTTAATTCTACTTAACTTAAAAAGTTTTTCTAATATTAAAAGAATAGTGAGACTCACACAGAATATTTGCAGTAAATTATCTAATTGAATAATTTTTAATTAATTATTTATACCAAATATAATTCAGTGGAGGGTTCTATTTTCTTATTTGTTACATAATTGTTCAATTAAAAAAATAAGTTCAGCAATTCACTGCAACTATTCGGTGCAAGAATCATTTTTTACATTAAAAATATATAAATTATAATATCACGAAACGAATTTCCTACAAAGTTCGTAAAAGAACATTTGCTCTAATTGGAGCTTCTCATTTTTCACTTGACGTATTTCTTGTTCAATTCTCTCAAGTCTTGTAGCGATATCCATCAATGACTGCTCAAAGCTATTTCTCGCCGACTTCTAAGTTAAACCGAAGGTAAAAAGAAAAAGAAAAATAACATCTTCGCTTCACCTCCCATATATCCGGCTAACTCCATCCCTGCAGTATTGTACAAGAATCTTCATTGTTCTCCCTAAATCAA